TAGGCTACTTTTTTAGGTGAGTGCGATTGAAAATTTCGTCTCTTATAATTTTGAGAAATGTGATCCAATTCATGCTCATTATTACTGAATCGAACCAATCATTTTGTGTTAAAGAACAAACGGCGATTTAACTTAAAACTGGCCCGTAAACAAAAAATTGTTGTGAAAATAATCAACCTAGACCCGGCTAATCCGCCGTCCATTTGCACAGCTCTTTTCTTTTAGTTGTCAATACTGATACTTGGCCTGCCAAATGAAAACATGTAGGCCTATTTAGCCTATTATGGTGTCAAAATGATCTTATCACAATCACATCGATATATAGCAGTAGCCTATTAGCGAGTGGGTTAAAGGCTTCATTCACACAGGCCTAATTGCTGGAACCAAAAAACACAAACAAAACAAAAAACACGCAATGTAAAATACTCCCAAAAGTTCTTAAAAAAAAACAACAACCCCAAAATCGAATAAATGAAATATTACAATGCTACTTCACTCAGGCTATCCTATTCGGTTGGATCTTTTTTTTTTTTTTTTTTTTAATATATCACTTGTTACAGTAACTAGGCAGCACCATCAGGTGAGCGTCACCCTCTCCGCTCAGTCACACAAACGGCGATTTAACGAACAGCAGGCAAGTTTGTCGAGTTGCTCAAGAGAGAGAGAGAGGCCATGGCTGCTGATAGACTGGATATAAGGGCCTTCTAACACAGGTAATCAAAAGCTTGAAATGGTTTCCCAAGCGGTTTGGACTGCGGCGACTACCTCCCTTGTTTTGGGATGTCATGTTGGTGTAAATATTCTTCCACCTTGTTGAGTCCCTATAGAAGCCTTCCCCTGTAGATCCTCTGAATGCTTAATGTGGTTCTCCTCTGTTGTGCTGTGTCATTGCTCCCCCTAACAGCCAAACAGGTTAATGCACCTCACTGCAAAATGTCCCGTATGTAGGCCTGAAGCTGAAGCGTGCTGCTGTATGAATCATAACATCACTGATAATGCGCCAATAACAGCTAAAATATTAAATAACAATCCTAAAGTGAACAGGGACTTGTTGAATTTGAAACGTTTCCATTTTCTAAGGAGGAAATTAGAGCCAATAAAGTTCAGTGTAGGAAAAGAAAAACGCATTCACTTCTTTAAACGGGCTGCTTTACCAACAAAAAAGAAAAACTACACAGCCATATGAACCATTTATATCTTGTGTGTGTAAAGCTGATCGTTTTCACAAGTCACTTATACGGTGTCAGTGTGTGTGTTTGTTTGGCTGGGTGGTGTTGAACGTTGTGCAGTGAACTGAAGACAAAAGCCAAAATAGTTAGGCCTAAACTTGTGAATGAAATAGCTACAGTTAAATGAAAAATGTTATTGAGGAAAATTAAACTATTTCCCAAAACAAACTAACAAATAAATCAGTGGGCCTACACCAATGAGACAGAGTTGGATGTTTTCTTTTCCAAATGCAGTTAACTCTGGAATAAAATTGTGTGTTTATTTATATTTGTATCTGGCTACTGCAGCAGTTTATTTTAATGTTTTTTTTCATATTACATCACCCCACGTGAAACTGTAGTTATTCTTTTGCAGCTATTGCCGCCTTGTGACAGAAATATGAAACAACAAAACTGCATTTATTAATATTACAACATGGGCAACAAAACAATAGCAATGGGGATTCACACTTCAAAGACAGACAGACAGACAGACAGACAGACAGACAGGTTCTGTGATTGATGTGGGTTTAATTTGAGCCCACTGTACGTTAGACCTGCTGTCTTTAGCAATTAGTATCCCATCTGCTTGACATTCGTTGATGAATGCGAGCTTGAATTTGTGAATCCAGAAGGTTTTTATTAGGTTTTTAAGTTGTTGTGTTCTACAGCAGCTTCAGCTATAAACCCCCCAACAGGAGGCCTACAGTGCTTCCGGTCAAGCCCCTCTGCTTTCAGACTCCACCATCTTTCCTGTTCATTGTCTTTACACCTTGACGACATCAAACGTTCAATTATTTTAGTTCTCAGGTATCTGTGTTTAAAGTTAATTCTTTTCCTTCCTCACTGTTGTCACATAGTTAGCCTGCTTCTTTTCTCGGATCCCACCATAGTTCAATGTAAATGAACCGTGTTTGTGTGGTAAGCAGATTACCTTGTGTATTAGCCCAAACTTGAGAAGCCATGGTTTGGCGCACAACAAGTGCTTAGAGGCTTATGCATGAAAAATAAGTGTATCTTAACTAACCCAAACAGTTCATTGTCAATAAACTTAACCTAGGATACTTTTTGTTTCAGTTCAACACTTTTAGTCTTCATCACCATTCTGTGTTTCAGTCATTTTAAAATAAATATGTTGTCTGCAGGGTCATTTTAAAACTTGCAACCAATGGCGTCATTGTATTGAAAGACCGGTCGAAAAAGGGGTTTTCTTTTGAGTAATGAATCCGTAGCAGTAGCCTATGCTTGCTCTTTATAAATACTTTCAAATTACCATAAATAGGCCTATCAGAAAAGTGATGGGATGTAAACATATTTTGTTGTTTGGTTTCCCCTTCAACAATTTTCTTTGAAGGCATAACCCGTGATCCAAATGTAAACACACCCACCAACATTGAAAACATAGGACTGAAACCTGCTGTCACTGTCACTGATTTGTAACTCCATTAATTCATACACTAGGCTACATATAAATTAATATTGTTTGCTTTTTTCTTTACTCCAACAATGGTTACAAACATTATATATATTATGCATAGTTTCCCCATAATCTTCAATTATACAAATATAGGTCTGTAATTTATTTAGTAGGGACGTGACAGATTGGGCCCTTTTTAAAATGTAAATCTTAATCGGTACATTTTACCTAAATATTAGGAAAAGTCCCCTTGTGGTATGTCCAGTCAGGAAAGGCAGGAGGCGCGCACACACAGACAGGCAGACCACATTCCTCCTAAAGTGTCGGAGGAAAATTCAGGGAAACAAAGAAAACTGCATTTAGAAAACTATTTAAATCCCCTTTAGCAGCCTAACGGCCACATCACCTACCATGAGCCTTTGTTTTTTTTTCTGCAAAACTGAATAGCCCTAAATATCACATGTATTCTTCTGAGTTCCTCGGAGGTCGCAGGGCTTTTATTTTATTCCCCCCCTCCAACTTTATTGCATCTGAACCTTTCAAAGCGACTCAAAAGCTCAACCAGCCTTGACTTTCTGTCCAAGCAATGTCAAAAATGACATCAACAAAATAAAAAAAAACTTACATTAACCTTTTTTTTCACAACATTAACCGATCTTTTAAGATGACATTACAATGCAATGTTTATTTGGCTATTTTCGTGCTAATAGAATAAGGTGGATCTATAAGGAAAAAATAAATATTGACGCATTTATTATCCTTATGAGATCCAGTTAGTGGTCACCAGCATTTTGTTTACATGCTTAATGAAAGCGGTCTCTCTTATATTAGTGCATTATTGCACATTCAGTGCCGCAGTACCGCGTAATCCAATGTGTTTGTGGCTGAAGCTGTTTGAACGTCGTGCTGTGTGAGAGAAGGAAAGGAGCTTTAATGTGACAACTGGGTCACTCCTGCAGCCTCGGCCTGAATGGTTCGAGTGGCTGAATAACTCTAAATGCTGAATAACTAAATATTTTTTAATAAAGGAGGCATCGTCTAATTTATAATGTAAAAATATTTTAATCACCAAAATAAATAACACTTTCACATATGAGTACCATACCTTGGAATAAAGCTTAATAGGTTGAAGTCAACCTCCTGGGCGAAATGAAATATTACACAGTTTGCTAATGCTTCCCTGCAGATGACAAATTCACAGGCTTTGATGTATGAAAAGTGAACTTGGACTAAATTCTAAAATTGGCTGCATAACAGGATTAGTGATATGTGACAAGTTGCCACTTACTCAGCAGTGATGACAAATGAAAATGGATGGGAGTGCGGGAAATAGCCCCCTGTCCAAAGCTTTACATTGGGCTCTGCAGAGATAGAACAGACGACCCACCATGCGATTAAAGCGCAATATGCACAGGTTTTGATGGTTCAGTGCGAGCACAAGTGGTAATTAAACGTAGACCATTCTAAAATATCAACTTTTAGGCGTATAAACGGACAAAACCACTATGCGATTTAACCTACATTTGGGGATAATGAAGTCAGCTACAGAGTTGAGCCTTAATGATCCTGAAAATGCTGGTCCAATCAAACCCATAGAAACCATGCTTGTCTTTGGCCATTGTCTTTTTCTCCCCGGGTGCCAAACTGGACTGATGCCTGACAAAAGTGCAGCATGAGTCGCGTTACTCGACCACTTGTGATCTAGATTAGTCTATATATATAGTCAGATGAGCTGTATTAAATTCACACAGTGAGACCACGATGTCATACCTGCCACTGACTCAATGATGAAATCACTTAAAATGGATGGAATCGGTTAAAGTAGCTTCCGAAATAATTGACGCATGTGCGTCATGTAGGCCCAAACTCATGAAACTCGAGTTCTGTAGTTTAGCTTATTAAATATTAATTGTGGCACAATGATTAAGCATTCATACCAAAGTTCAAATCGTGTTGCCTTGGTCTAAAAATATGATCTTGGTCTTTAAAAAGTCTCCTCAGAGGTTAAGGTTAGGGTTAAGGTGAGGGTTGGGTTTAAAAACACACTTAAAGGTAAAAGATAATGGCGTGTTAAGCAGACTTGCGTAAAATTTGATTTGATTCTCGCTACGGTGAAAAGAACCCGTGATTAAAATAAGTTTTAAAAAAAAGTTAGCCCTGTCCAAATAGGTCTGAGCAAAATTTCCTCTCAGTATTTTTCCAAAGGTCTGCTTTATAAACTCATTGACTCATATAGCCTATACACGTTGAGGCGTAGGCTATCTGTCATTTTGTGCCAGTGGTCACATGGCTTTGGCCCTCAGGAATGGATAGAGATGGATCCCCACGTCAGCTTGTACGTCTAAGGATTTCTGCTCCACCAGTCTGCCTCAAAGTGACTGGAGCGCAGCGCCGCGGAGGAACTATGCGAGGATTAATGTAGGACGTTTCCAACAGCAGAATATGGATTTTGATGAGCGAATCTCCGGCTCTAATATGTATTTACCGAGCTGCACTTACTACGTCTCGGGAGCCGACTTCTCGGGTCTCCCTCATTATTTAACCCAGAGCCAATCCTCTTGCCCCATGACATACCCCTACCAGTCCTCAGCTCTGCCACAGGTCCCGTCCGTAAGAGATGTGGCTTTCAGAGACTATGGAATTGAGACCTCCAGTAAATGGCACCACAGCAGGGGGAGCCTTTCGCACTGCTACACTGAGGACATAGTGCACAGGGACGGCTGGACGAGCCCGAACTCACGGGGGGGAGAGATCCTGGTGAAAGGCGGCTCTAGCGCCAGCCACCCCAGCTCCTCCAACCCGACGCACGGCTTCTATGGCAGCGTTGGCAGGAACGGCGTCCTGCCGCAGGCGTTTGACCAGTTCTTCGACACCGCCTACGGGAGCGCCGAGAACAGCACAACACCGACAGCACAAGCAACAGAAACGGACAGACGCGCCGCCAAAATAAGCCCAGCGTCGGCTCATCCGGGCTCGGACACGGCGGAGAGCTGCAGCCCCAAGTCTTCTCCCGGCCACAGCGAGGAGAAACAGAGCAAAGGCAGTGAGTAGCCCTGCTGAATGCAAGAAGGAGAAAAATCTAACGCGTTGCTCTTAAAGCTTTTTATATGCTGTTTTATAAGCACGTAAGGTTTATGGAGGGCCTGCAGATTTACCCTATAACAAAACTATGTTATAAACTACAAGATCACGTGCTTGGGATTGAAATTGGCCGTGAAGACTTTGGCGTTAAGCTTGTCTTCCAAGATTTCAAACAAGATCTCCCCTTTTTTTCTTTAGGCCTATTTATGTGCTTAAATATCCGAATAACAGTTAGCCTGTAAACTTAATTTTTATGCTCATATTAAATATTTTTTATAAAATCCCGTTAGCATTCTACACATTTGGAAACTTCTAAAATCTCACACGTGCGTGTCCATGTGAGTATAACAAATTTGTTCTGATATGTTTTTAACATTGATTTTTAAAATGTTTTAATCTGGTTTATTCTGGGTTTACTGAAGTAGGGCTGTTGATTAATTGTAATCTGATTTTGGATTGAGGCTTAAATCCTCCTCCTTATTTAAAGGTTGGCTAAATGTTGACAGATTCGCGAGGATTTAATTCAACAACTGCTTTCCATGAAATGTGCTTCACTAACACTAAAACAACAGCTCATTAGGCACAGTGAAATCAAAAGCGGACATCACAAACATATCTGATACATGATACTCATGACTGTTTGGTTTAGGCCCACGCCCTCACTCTTAAAAGCAGCCAGAATGTTTTTTTTGTTTTTTTTTTTTACATATTTCAATAAGTTTTCACAACTTCCGACATGCAATCCTTCATGCCCAACATGCCCCACTATCAAGTCCAGTCTTTGTTTACAAATCTCGGTTCTGTACGCCTGAGAGGACACTTGAACTCCAAAGTCCATGTAGACCACCACCACTGCTGCTTCCAAGCAGGAAACAGACTAATGATTTCATGTTGTTGCAAAGTGTCTGTATTATCTTATGTGATGACCTTTTGCCCTTATTTATCTATTTATTTTTCAGCTGGCCAGAGGACGCGCAAGAAGAGATGTCCATATTCAAAGTATCAGATCAGGGAACTGGAGAGGGAGTTCTTTTTCAGCGTTTACATCAACAAAGAGAAGCGCCTGCAGCTCTCGCGGATGCTCAATCTAACAGATCGCCAGGTCAAAATCTGGTTTCAGAACAGGAGGATGAAGGAGAAGAAACTGAACAGAGACCGTTTACAGTACTACACCACAAACCCCCTGCTATAAAAAAAACTGAACAAAGACTGTCACTGGCATGCAGCCATGCCCCCCCCCCCCCCCCCCCCCCAAGACTACACGTCTTACCTGAACAGGATGGCGAGTTTTTTCATGTGCCAGACTTCATAAAGAATTCTACTATTTATACCATATTTTGTCATTAAACACCGTTGGCTCTATTATTATTATTTATTATTATTATTATTATTATTATTGTGATTAGTCTATAACATAGGTCTGTTTTTCTGTTAATGACAGTTTTTCCTCCTACCAATCAACAATTTTGAACAAGTTTAAAGTGTTCGGTGTGCTCCTGCGGTAAACATGTGTCTGAACTGAATACCCTTTATATTTAAAACAACAAGCACGGAAAGGAATGTACTGCAATTTCAAAAATAATCTTATTTTTTCTTAAAAATTGTAATTGTTTCCCTACGTTTAGCACGCACAAGATACTTTTGTGGCCAGAAATCTTCAACTATTCATGTTTCCTTCTTTCTCTTAATCTTTTAAATTTATTGTACCAATACAACTCCTGTGAGTGGAAAACTCTTTGGAGTGTTTTGGAATTACTATACCCCCCCTACACACACACACACACACACACACACACACACACACACACACTGTAATAATAATAATAAAATAACTGGTCAGTGCTCCATAGTTAGAGAATGAGTTAAGTTATAATCTGATACGAGTTCATTCATTTTCATGCACTTCAAGCCTGATGTTAAGTGATATTTAACATCTGCGCTTGACCCTGTGTACAGGCGCTTTGTTGAGCTCTTGGCCGTAAAGTTGGATTCTTCTAACAAACCCCCCAAAAGGAAACATCATCCTACATTATTTAGTTTTATATACCAGCACGTGGATCGTATCAGATGCATGATATGTAGGTCTGATGCATTTATTCCCTCATGGCTAGAAATGGGATCCGCTGCAGTTATTATTTGGTATCCATTACAAAGGGTTCATTCATTTCTGGGGCGACGTGGAAAGGCTGATGTTTGACCTAACATGCCTGTTAGGCTTAATGAAACAATTTTGACACTTGTTTGAATGCATATGGATGTGACTGCCCGCAAATAATATGAATTTATTTGTGTGATTGTCAAAGTAGTTGTGGAAAGATTTCATCCACTAAAAGTGACAGACAGTGACACTGGGGTAAATAAAGAAGTGGACGAACTCCAGATCCCCATACATTTATGTATTATCTGGAGTGGTTTAATCCAAAGATCCTACATCAGTTTGATACTAAATAAACAGGCCATGAATTCAGGTCATGAAGATTTATTTTAACCTGCAAAAGAAGGTGACGCCCGCACCCATAAAAGGATGGGTAAAAATTGGGTTCAGGTGGCTTTATATCCACCACCGGGCCCCTGAAAGCAACTTGAATGGCCTGCCATAAGCTAATGAGGGCCCTGATGCCTTCCTTATATCGTGCATCCTGTGAGACTCCCAGGAATTCAGCTTTGATTGCTGCACATCCTCCCAGTTGCTCCAGTAACTTGGCCATAAAACGCGGATTCGTCTGGAGCATTTGGAGTGTAGTACTATAAAGCGTCTGAGACCAAGGTTATTAACTGTGACTAAGGGGCTGAAAAACAACGGCTGGGAGCATTGAAAGCTTGTGTCCACGGACCTTTCCGGCATCATTTGTTTCAGTATCTTACCGCTGTAGGAATACTCTGCGTTTGTGTTGCAGTGCAGGCCTGCCGTCTTCGCCCACTGGGTGGCGCTCCTCAGATCAATGTCAATGCCGTGAATTGAGATATAAAAGAAGTTTGACTCAACCCTCAGCTGCTTTAAAATATGTCATCGCCTCGGGATTCCGCTGTTAAGGTAGGCACAGTAATAATATCATGTGCATTTTATCACTACAGGAGGTTTAAGGAAGAGGGTCTAATTTTCCAGTTCATCTCCATCTTAAAAACTGAACATTACATTTTAAGTTGTAGATATTTTGATGTAATGGAAGCATCACTGGCCAAAATTACCAGGGGTAAACAATACAAGAAAAGATGTGTGTACGGGTTCTCGGGTTGCAGTTTTGCAAAAGTTATAGGTCTAGAGTGACTCACGCGAACTAAGGAAAAAAGATCACACGGGCCTAGGCTATGTTCCAAACAGTTTGTGGCTCACTAACTTTTACAATCCCCAAACAGTTTAAAACGTAAATTATACTTCATTTTACAAATACTAAATTGGATTTATGTTTAGTCGTGATGTAAAAATGTGAAAACGAGAACACTTGGATTGTCCCCATTTGTTCTTCTTCTTTATATTAAGACGGAACTTGTGTGTGTCCTGTGTGCGTCATTGTGAGTGCGACCTGGCATAGATAGACACAAACAGGGAGACATGTCGACACAACACAGTCAGTGTGGGATTTTCATTAAGTTTTTAAAATATATATATATAGTCTAATTGAATGAATAAAAAAAAACAAGTTTTATGGGAATAATAATGTAAGAACAGCTCACCCATAGTGCACACTGAAACATCACAGGAAATATCCAATGGGGTTAATGATTATTATCATTCACTGAGGCTAGACTGCAGCAGGTTTGACGCCATATAAAATGGCTGTACATAACTCTGATTTCTAGACTTTATGGCTCCAGACTTCTAAGAAAATGGAAGTAGCCGATGTTGTATTTCAGGGTAAACCCACCTTTGGAGACATTTTTATGCTGACCTAAATCTGTAGGCTTGTGTTATAAACTCCTAACCTTACGGTCTTCTAAGGAAGCATGGGTTGATGTATTTCTTGACATTTTATTTCATTTTAAATATTGTAAGAGCCCACGCTACCGATTTGTGTTTACAAGTTGTTTGCTTTATATGATGAGAACCAACTAATTTCCAATTTCTTTTTCACTTGCATGGCGACTTGTATTATAAAATGGTTCATTTCAGATGATGGTCTTTATTTTAAATGAAGACAAAATGGCTACCATTAACACTAGTCCCCCTAAAGTCACATATTTTCTTTCATACCTATGCAAGCAAATTTAATTTATGTGTTTTTTCTGGCCGAATCACGGTTACTAGTTTTTCTGTTTTTCCCATTATGCTACCTCCAACTCAAATGCGTCGGCCTGTTTCATGTAAAGGACAAAGAGAGAGACGGTCAAGATCTTAAAAAAATATATAAAAAAAACATCTTTAAACGACTTACTGAGCATTTTATTCGTGGGCAGAATGGATGTCAGTAGGTGTTAATTTGAGATGGAATTTAAATTTAAAAGAATGGCAACACGCGTACAGGCCTTGGAAGAGAGTGTTGTTCTTAGTAGATAGTGAGTAAATACGTGGAAAAACTCTTACAAATTCCCAGTGGTTCTTTAAGGAGATGCTTGCAAGTTCTAATGTAATCTATCAGTATCCAGTAACGCATTACATCTCTTGTAGTCTTGCCAGTATTAGGTGATCGTTAAGAAAAATGTAGCTCCAGGGCATTGTTCAACTGTGACGCTTACTTCAGCTTGTCTGCGTGTCACCTTTACAAATAAATGCTCAAAAGAGTCTTTGCAGTAAAAGGTGTCTGGACGCAATCATGGCATTTGCATCCACAATATTCACACCAAAATCAGACAAGCTCGATGGCTCTAAAGGAAGTCTTGCATTTGTTTGCAATGTGGCAAAATGAAACAATGCCACTGCTTTTGGTCAGTCCATGAGGAATAAAAAGTCCAATAATAATCTCCAGAGCAGCACGAGAAGTCCTTCGACCAAAGAGTCGCACAGGACCTTTTGGATTTTTGATGCACCCTGTGCTACTCAGCACCTCTAGAACCCTTCATTTTTACAGTGCTGTAAAACTGGCCATAAAGCTATACATTGTACATAATTGTTAGGGACAGCTTTCAACAACTGAGTTGTCAATTAGGGGTTGTTGTTAAGGTAGCTCTAGGCGACGATCGGGGCTCAGAATTTGAGATTCAAAGTAGATTTAAAGAATTTACCTATAATCCTCTGATGCACCACTTTCCCCACACAGTTTTCTCTTTGCTTAGCCTAAAACAAAATATATGACACACTGGAGCTGCCTGGCCGGACTGGGAGGAGTCTGTAGTCGCCTGGTGTTTTAATTGGCTGCAGGCTACAGTGAGAAGCGTGAGTATCAGTAATTATTCAGCAATGTTTTGCACAAGAAATGTCAGCCAGAAAGGGCTATCTTCATCCTCCGTCAAATTATACCACAACGATGACATGCCCCAACAACCAAGCTGGAAATTCGTTTTTCGTGGACTCCTTAATCAACGTGAGAACCGACAGTGGTTCTTATTACCAAAGTAACGGGGTGTATTTGCCACCGGCGTCGGAATATTCATATGGACTCTCGGGTGGCTCATGTTTCCCGGGGATCAGTAAGCGCAACGAGCCAAGCACCCCTGCTTCTGCTCCGTATGTTCAAGGGATGGAAACGTGGCTGGAAACGTCGAGATCATGTCGGGTGGATCAGCCCAGCGGCCAGCATATGGCTCAGTGTTCATTCTCGCCGAGTATAAAAGAGGAGAGCGCATATTGCCTTTACGAGTCTGACAAATGTCCTAAGGGAGCAACAGTAGATGACATTTCCTACTCGACTGCATCATGCCCAGTTGCCGGCAGCACCTTGCCAGTCCCCGGCTACTTCCGCCTGTCTCAGACCTACGCGTCCTCCAGGCTTTACCACGATGTCCAGCCAAACATGAATCACTTCACTCTGCAACGACCTGCCCGCTTGGACAACCAGCCCTCCCAGCCCCAGGCTGCCTCTGCTGAGCCGGAGCGGAGGGAGAGCCACGAGGAGGCGCCTGTCCCTGCGCCCTGCGCCCCGGCCGGAGAGGAGGACAGCCGCCTCTCCTCGGAAAGCTCATCCTCCCCCGAGCCCACTGAGACTTGCAGAGCGGAATGTCCAGAGAAGCCCGTTAAAGGTGAAGAGTAGAAATAGCCTACATTGTAGAAATATGTTGCAAAAATCTCAGACGGCATTAAAGGGGGTTTTCTGACCACCGAAGAACGGGCACGAGCGCTGATTTTCTGTTAGAGTATTAACAGTTAGATCCACAGACAGATACTTAGCTGTGCGTTTATCTGGTAGGCTACTTACGGGTTTGTCGGTCATGAGGCGAAATTGAACATGACTTAACCAATCAGAGCCGAGGATCAGAGCTATTGTGCTTTATTAACTGTTTTTAGATCACAAACAGGCTGCTGTGCTTTATTACAATATATCCAAACAGGTCTTGTGGATTTATTTTAACAGGCAACTTTACATTTGATAATTAAAAAGCGCATTAATTATTCTCGTGTTTTAAAATATGATCAGAGTTTCATTATTATTTCATTTATAGCTACAACAATTGATTCCTGTCCAGCCCATTTGTCCTGTGCAAGATTGTGATGTCATTTGTCCCCTCATCAAAGGCACAGGCCTTGCTATAATTTCAGCAGACTGTGCAGGCTACATGTTTTATGTCTTAATAAAGGTGCAGTTGGCTGCAGGCTGTGTTAAGGCTGCTCAACGTGCAAATAGCAGTTTCTGGAAAAAATACTGATTTGCAGATGTGAGATGTGTGCATAAAATGGTAGTGAAAAATCAAGACAGAAATCAGTCATTATGCGGGTAGTTAAACTCTTAAATGGATGTGTACTAGGTGTCAAAAAGTAGAATTTATATACCAAACATTATCTTCAGTAGTTTGCAGTAAAGCGCAGTTTTATTAATTGGAAATGTCATTTTTCGTTTATGTGGATTTAGAATGTTAGCAGCCTAGTCCATCATTTCTAACAAATATATGAGGCTTCCCTCCAAGTATGATGTCTGTTTCTGTTCCACCTGTTGCCTAATGTCCTGTGTCATTTTCATCACAGGAGATGGAAAAATGGAAAGTACAGCCAACTGGCTCACAGCAAAGAGTGGCCGAAAGAAGCGCTGCCCCTACACCAAGCATCAGACTCTGGAGCTGGAGAAGGAGTTTCTCTTCAACATGTACTTGACTAGAGAGCGTCGTCTGGAGATCAGCCGCAGTGTGCACCTCACTGACAGGCAAGTCAAAATCTGGTTCCAAAACAGGAGGATGAAACTGAAAAAAATGAGCCGGGAGAATCGGATCCGAGAGCTCTCTAGCAACTTCAGTTTCTCGTGAGACTGAGTCTGCGTCTTTGGCGCCCTCCTCCAGCCATGGCAAGGGCGCCTGTGCAGAGCCCCCCTCCCCACCCACCCAACTGTGAGAATGTCCATGGAAAACAGGACCCTACTGCTAACTTATTAATTGTTGTTTTTTTCACGTCTGTTTTATTTTGTCGTGGATATGTATTTATAAATGGATACATTTGTAACGTTGATCCATTGTGTTTAAAATGTTCAGAATGTGACCACAATGTTTTCAGAGCTTCAGGCTTGTACATATGTAAATTCAACCTGAGGGAACCATTGGACTTTGCATGCTGGACAACCCTTGGGATACTTGTGTTACAGTTACATGTAGGTCTTTATGTGACAGCTAAAGAACCCAAGAGGTCGGATGAATATTTGCACATTTTGGTGGACATTAATAAAACCATCGATGCAACTGCAGACTTCTTATTTCATTCAGAAAGATGGACTAGGAGCTACGCGGTGTTTAAATCTTGAAGCTGGCATAGGTACAGCGCATGGTGTTAAAGCCTTTGTGTTTTGGACCGGGTCCGCTTTGTGAACAGTAAATATTATTACAGTAGTAGAGAGGGGTGTTCTTCATAGTTTGGGCTTGTAATAGATGTCTGGCGGCGTTGCACACTTCGGTGCTTTTTGTCCTTGACATCAGACTTAAATATAAAACCACGGTATGAGTGGAGAAGCACTGACTTTGTCATTAGTATTAGTTCAAAATTATTGTAAATTAAATTATTAAGTGGTTCCTTGTTGCAAAAACGAAGACAAACCAAAATGTTCCAAAACAGTTTGAGAATTGCCGCACATATTAGATCATGAATAACATGCAGTGTCTTTTGAGCCTGTACAGATTTATAAATTCTGCTTTAACTACACAATTTTCACACCCTGAAAACCCTAAAAACACATTATAACAGAAGTGCCTGAAGAGGAGAGCGGGCTGTTGAGTGGTTTAGGTAGTCTCATGTTGTTGGGCTTCAATTTTTCTCCCACAACAGGAAACTGCCTTGATTACCTCAGTAAAACTCGTCGCATCATGAAAAGTGAATCAATTTTAATTACTGGTCCAATGTATTAATAATTTGGCAGAGACTCCAACACATAACAATGATTAATCCAAAAGTGCAATAAAGTGTTTTATTGTTGTGCGTAAAAGGAACTCTTGATATGATTTTTGCTCTTTCTGTGGGTTTTCATTATGAAGCTAAAATGTATTATATATGTATCTGGAAGTGGTTTAATTTAATCTTAGATACACAAAGTTTTCACCATGTCTATAATTTCAGACAACGTCTGCAAAAGAGTTTGAGCGTCTCTGTGTGATCTAAACAGCAGGAAGTAAAGACGCAGACTGCGAAATGAAAGGATTAAGGCTTGTATATGTCCAAGAGAGGAGGAAAGGACAGACAAGGCCTCGGTTATGATCATTGCAGTCTGCCAGTTGCCTCTCTGTAGGAAATGCCGGATGCGTCTGCTTGCCCCAGAGAAAGGACACAAAGGCTAAGCTTTATTGGTGATATTTAGCTTAGACAGCCAGGTTGTAACCTTAAGAAAAACAACCCAATTGCCCGTGATAAAAAGAACTGTTATATAGCACCCAAATAACCTCACCCCACTTTACGTCTTAGATTGCCTTCAAAGTAGACCCGCGACCCTGCAGATACATAAATGTGCATCTTGGAAGCTGTCCCTAAATGTGTTTTGATTTTGTAAACTCCAGTGATGCTTCAAACACACCCCTGCTTGTTTTAGACTGGTTTAAGAAGTCTTGAAAATGTTTGTATTATTCCAGCCACTAAAAAGAACCAGAAATTTGTTTCCCAAAGTAAGAGGTTTATAAATGGAGGTTATTCAATTATTATACATTTTTATTTATTAGATTTTTATGGATATAAAATTGTTTTACGGGAAGAGGTTTGGTGATTTCACAAATGGAGGCTTTAAAGTCGTGCTCCCACTGCTCCCCTCTAGATTCACAACTATGTTTGATTACACCAACATCAGATCGCTTGACAAAAATCACAACGTTTATTCCTTATAAAACATAATATTTCCCAATAAAGGCGCGGGGATTTGCTATTAAAATTGGTGGGGAAAATGGTGGCCCTTTACTTGAGCAGCAGGCTGATTTATTATTTATTGTTCTGTCCCACGGTCACGTGTTTGGGGCGCCCTATCCAGTCTTGGGCAAGGTTCAACTTATCGGACGCATTGAGCCCCTATAGCTGACGCAGGAAAGCAGCACATTATATGCAATGAATCTGTTTTTTCTAAACATTGTAGGACTGTAACGCGCTATTTTTTTCTTTTGCATTTTTGCAATGTCGACGTTGGGAACGAGTTATTACGTTGAGTCGCCTGCTCTTCCCGAGCATGAAGATATGGCACCGAGGTACTCATCAGATGCAGGGGTGGAGCAGACGATGCTCACAGAATATGGCGGACACGAGTCTTTCCCTTTGCAGGCGAAATCTTCTATTTTTGGTGGATCTTGGAATCCCATCCCGGCCCACCCTCCAGACACAGCCACACCGACCTATATACATCACCATTACACCAGCGGGGACAGCGATGGCATGTTTACGCGCTCCTGGGCGTTGGATCCGGTCTCAGCGTCCCTGTGTTTGACGGGATTACCATCGACAGCAATGCATTATGAGATAAAACCCGAACCTCTTATTGGGAGTGCTGAATGTACAACTTTGGAGACCCACACACCTCTTTTGTCTGACATCGGAAACGAAGCGTCCCTTGCGGAAATTCCCTGCGAAACCACATCCACGTCTAAAACCACTGAAGAGAGCCCGTCAGTAGAGGACAAGAGGGAGATAGATGCAAGTAAGCAATGCAGTGTTTCACTTTATTCTTGGTCATTTTATAGACTCATTTAGAATGAAATTAGGAATTAGTAGCTTGTTGATGTGGATGAATTGTTTTGGATAACACAGGCTTGGCTTAGTATAAAACTGACATGCCATTTGTATAAAAACTATTGTTTAGGCTCATGGAGATACAAAGATAAAAGACCTATAGCTCCATGACATGATCTGCATTGAAGCTCTGTAAATATAATATACGCATATCCTTCAGGGTGATTGACACACTTTACTGTATAATTATACAAAAACTTCAAAGGAATTTGGTAAGGAATTTGCTATCTTTAGTCCTCAAACAGGTCAGGTCAGAGTGAAAACAAACCAAACTAATTTCTTTACACACATATAATCTTGCCAGAAATAGAATGTCCTTCCCAAACTGTAAAGCCAGCAGACCAGTGTTGTTTTTGAATCCTGTTGTGAGAGTATTAACTCTCCTTCTCATGGTTTGACCCCCTGTTTCCAGATAACCCATCATCCAACTGGCTTCATGCGAAGCCCACCAGAAAAAAGCGTTGTCCATACACAAAGCATCAAATCCTCGAACTGGAAAAGGAGTTTCTGTTTAACATGTACCTCCCCCGGGACCGTAGATACGAAATAGCGAGAGTCCTGAGTTTGACCGAGAGACAGGTGAAAATCTGGTTTCAGAACCGCAGGATGAAGATGAAGAAAGAAAACAAAGACCGGCGGAGAGACAGTTAACTGGGTTTTGGCCGGTGGTGTGGCTGATTAGAGCCTCAGGGGGGAGGGAGAGGGGGGTCTGTCTTTAATATTCCTGACCTGTTACACATGTTGTTGTAAAGTTTGTGTTGTTAAAACAATGCTGGGTGTTTTTTTCTATGATGTCCAGTGTTTTATGTTTGCGAGAGGACAAAGTGTCCAAATTTAGATGTGTTGTATTTGGAGCACAGAAATAGTTAAACTACAGACCATCTGTTATTTGCATGAATGTATCCTTGACTCCATGAATGTCTTATAGCTACCTATTTGCATTGTTTAAGTTATTGTTTTTGCAATCTAGATGTTTTTTAAACGTTAAGTTTTGAACCGTTTGTGGAAACACTGCACACTTAAAATACCTCGTTGTTACAGGCTTCATCCTAAATAAAGAGTAGTTTGTATAGCACATGAGAAAGTTATTATGTCTTATTCATTTGTTTTCATTTTGACCAATATTAAACAAACATACCAAGCATTTTAACAATAGTACATATATGCTAACTATAAAAAACTTACTACAACTTAATTTACTTTTATTCATTAATTTAAAAAAACTATTTCCACAAAATCAGAATTTTTATTTTTGTCATTTAAATGAGTTGGACTGAAAACCCTGTTTTATTTCAGAAAAGGTATTTAACGAAACAGACTTTTACTGCCTCTTCTGGTTTGCAACCATTGGGTTTTGTGGCGCAAAAAAGCAAAATAAGCCATAGAAAAACCTTCCATGGCCTGTCCGCGTTTTATTTTCTTCCAGAAAGTCTTTTGTCAACCCTTCTGGCATGAATTTGCGTTTATAATAATAATATTTATTTTACAATAATGTTATTGCGGAATTAAGAGAGGAGTCTTTCTTTGACTGTAACATGACCAGTAACATTTCAGATTTTAAAGCGTCCGCGCATCCTTTCTAAAGAAACATTAAATATAAAAATGAAAAGAAATTTCTTGAATTATCTTTATATAGGCCTATCCTATAATCGAATTCTGCAGGATGGATTGCAAACCAGCAAATCACAGCGAAGTATAGTTTAATTACAAATTAACTAAAGAGTGGTGCAAACTCTAGAAATAGTGAAACGTTTTAGTATTTCTAGATTATTTTGCACTTAATTATTTTCTGAAAGGCTGCATGTGTATATACGCATTATTTGTAGGGCATGTGCGGCCTTTGGACGCCCAACAAACTAGACGAGATGCCCTCCTACAATAAACCACAATCACAGCCTCGGCTGTTTATAAGGTGCGAAAACAGCAAAGCATGTAGAAGCTCTGTGACAGCAGTAAACCAGCATTTGTAATGAGGCTCGGGGCTAGCAGTCAAATATGTTATATTGTTGTAAGATAGGCCTGAAGCACTGGGGTAACACACACACACACACACACACAGAGGAGATGTAGGCTATAGGATTGCAGATGGGTCTGTCCTAAAACGTCTAATTACTTTACAACTGTCTACCAGCACTGTCTCAGTGTAGAAACATCCGTTTGTTGTTTTGTCTCAGCAGACACACACACACACACACACACACACTGACAGAACAACACTGAACTAGTTTAAATACCACAACACACATCACTTTATTTGGTGAACAAATAGAAAATGCCACAGTTAAAATAACATGTAGGCTTAGTTAAAAAATAAAATAAAATAAAATTTGGACAAGTGGTGTGCTGCTGCGCTCTGACTGCCAGCAGGTGGAGGCAGCGGCTTATCTGAGGAACACAGTTCAAACCGGATGATGCGTTCACGGCACGCCGAAAGACCACTCCCCGTTTATTACAGACCTGCAGCAGTTGTGTCGTTTTCGTCGTAAATCATCTCATCCCGCTGCGTCTTCTGTTTCATTTTATCGTCATCTGTGGCATGAATTGCTCTTTAAGGATCCTTATTTAATTAAAGCGGGGTTCTGTTTGGGCCAGGGGGTTCCTTTACATTTTTACAGCTGCATCTGACAAAGGCACAAATTAGTTTATGAAATGACTCCACGTTGCGCTTTTGGATAGTTTTAGAGGAATATATGTGGCAAAATGAATAACACATGGCTTCATGCATGTTCTAAACACTCTCAAATATGGATGCAAAATGTTGTGGCTGTAAAGTGCAAATATTTTTCATTTTATGTACTACATAAATAAATAAGCAACTGTGCGAAAACTGTAGTCCTACATGTGATGAGCACCAACATGAAATGCACAGATGATCACTCGTGATTATACAGACAGGTACACACACATATGTCCAGAGAGACATGACGTCACTTCCCCTTTTCCAGGAGCTGAATTGGACCTCACTGGATCCCAACTGAGCGATGAACTTGAGTTCCTAAAATGTGAGAGACACCCCAAGCCTTCTCCCTCCCTCCCTCCCTCCCTCCCTCCCTGGGTTCCTTGAACATCCCACCAGCCTCCCTCCACTTCACCCTTTTCCTCACCCTCCCTCACTCCCAAAGGTCACCAACATGCAGCTCATTAAGTCTCTTACTCCTTTTTGGGAAAATTGTAAAGATATTGAGGACGACTGAAATTTCCATTTTTCATGAACATGATAAGATGGTGACATCCCACTATTCAAACCTTCACTAAGGTATCTTGAGTCTCCAGAGAACTCCAGTGTTGTGCGTAGATAGCATTCCTGTCTGATCCCCATGAATATTTTGGTGGATATCTTCCACACAAACAGCCATTTGAGGAGCCATGCTGCAGAAAAACAGAAAGTTGCTTGGATGTCATGACCCCCATACATCAAACCTCATGACACCACCGGTGACAGAGGAGGCCACATGTGATCTCTGGGGGGAGAAGTTCATGGGAGTAGACATGAGCACATAGGAGTCTAGGTAATGAGAACTGCCAATAGTGTGAATCTATATAGTGGATAGTGAACTTACTGTGAAACCTTAGTGTCTGCTGTATTTAAAAAAAAATTATTCATCGCTGTGTTGAGCCATAGTAATCACACCTCAGTTTAATGCTGTTTTCGAGGGAAACAGACTCCTTGAGTTTGGAGTTTGCTTTCTGGACGCTGCCTTTATCAGCCACTTAAAATCCACAATGCATTTCCCTGCATTATTATTTTTCATTTCATCAACCTCTCTTCAGTTTGAAAGCATGCTCTTGGTTTCCAATCTTTCCTAAAACCATGCTCATATACATATTATCCTTTACCTGCAGGGCAACTGATCGATGACACTTGAAGTAAAGAGGCAGAGAACTGACACACAGGCTGTTCGACTTTTAAAAGGTGGGTTGTGTAGGTGAATGTCTTGGTTGCATTCTTTTATTGCTTTGATCCCAAACTTTTCATTGTTTTGTCTTTTTATTTCTGAGAGAAAAAAAAAGGTGACCAGGATGACCATCAACCAAGTGATTTTGTTTTCAGTTATCTCCATATTTCTGCACATGTCGACGTGCAAAACAGTTGGATTTGCGGCCCCTGAACGCGCCTGAAGTGATCTGTCAAATCTTCTCATGAATCCAGGGGGCTCGATAAATAACAACTGTAATGTGAAAATTCTTTTATGAACACACTGCTTTGTTTCCAGGACGGACACACACACACACACACACACACACACACACACACACACACACACACACACACACACACACACACACACACACACACACACATGGCTTGACGCTTAATGTATTTTCCAGAAGGATTACGCTGCATCGTACCGCTGTATTTTTTGTTTTTTTCCCCACAGGCAGAATATGATGTAATATATGATATATTTGCAACGTTAATGACGGAAACAACATGCAATAAACACTTTTATGAACGCTTTCAATTATTTCACCAAATCTAATTTCAGTATAGGCTAGAAAACCTGGCCCATGCAAAATGTGTAGGTCTAATATATAAACGTAAGTGCAATTATTAAAGAAGACTTTACCATATCATTGTACACACTGAAAAACAAAAACAGATGCACATTTCGTAATTGTTCAGTTATTCATTTATTTTTAGTCTGGTTAAGCATTTGCATCACACTCACCATAAATGAAACCAACACAGTTCAGGCTAGTCATTGAAACATTTTGTCTTAAAAACAGCCCAGTCAATGGTCGCAGGTTTGGCCTGCTTGCTTCCCAGATGTCTCTCGTTGTCTCAGAACAGACGGGAAACGCGCCGCTCCTGCACACAGGTCACCGAGACACCGTCTTCTGTCTGCATTCATTAAAAACAAGCAACAAAATGCTGCTATGGTTTATATAACAGCCCGAACTAGAGCCGCAGACATACTTCAAAAGTAGTTTCTGTGTAAAATAAAAAATGTTCAATGCGCCTTTGTCTAAACATGCAGTCTTCAGGTTGTATTGTAGACGTTTGTTTGAATTTCCAGAAGGCTCTTTGTTCTCTTTGTATTGTTGTTCTGTTTCTACACCTGAGTCGATTTAAATATATGCGCTCTGACCAGGTTAATTCTGTCCATATATAAACCACCATTTATTTGCAAATTCTAATAGGCTGAAATATTAGCCTATAAATACATGTGCTTAGATAATCATTTGTAGAAATAACCATAAATGCTTGACAAGGAGCTATGTACAGATGGAATTCGGTTAAATTTGGAGTAAATTAAATTTATTTCACAGTCAGATTTATCAGATATCTTTCAGTTAAATTATAGCACAATATTATAGCAAGTATCAGGATATTATTCGTTCACAAATTCTGTCTTATAAGAGTACACAGTTACAAGGTAAAAATCAGTTCCTGAAAATACAGTTATGTACAGTCAAATCAAACATTTCAAGTAAATATGGCAAAAGTGAATTATTCTAGAAGGCAATCAGGCCAGAGAAAGACTTGTTCACATGGAATCTGAAGAGAGAAAGGTATGAGTCTGAATGGGATTCCTGCTGAATGCCAACACCCACTCACCTCAGCAAACAATTGATGCTGTGTAAAAGCTGCTCCGTTCGTTTCTATATCACTAACCAAGTCAATCCCTCTTCTCTGTGTTTTTTTCAGTGCCAGTATAATCCTTTTTGCAAACGAAAAAGCGACAGAGTTTCGTCTTTAGATGGAGTTATTATCGAGCGAGTGAGCAATATAATTAAAAGAAATAAAGCTTTGTGCATAACGGCCGTGCGTCTCATCCAGTGCGTCTAAAGAAATCCCTCCATTTCTAAATTGAAACCTTCTCTTAACAGCCTACCGAGAGAGTGGCTGTCCTCTTCCTGGCCATATATGATCTAAGGGAGTGTTAGATGGTTTAAATGTGTTCTTAGGGCAGGAAGCTGTCAGACCTTTTGGCGAGAAAGATTGATCACACACAGGCTACCAGGGCTCTTTGTTTAGAGCCTGAGCAATAAACAGCCATCAGATCCCCACTTTTCCTCTGCTTTACACTACAGTGGCAAATCATACTCTGCGCTATGTTAGCCAATAATGCTGAAGTATGTGGATGATGACTTAGATCAACATTATCCCTATAGGTGAAATAAAATTAATGGTAAGTGGGGCAGAAAGCTAAGTGTAAAATTGTGACAAATGCACGTTAAATAACCCAGCTACTTTTTTACTTTGACACAAATATAGACTTCTTTCAGTAGAATTTCTAAAAAGACTTCAATGATACATTATAATGTAATGTAAAAAAGTACACTATTATGAAACAATCTTTGGGGCAGCCGAGATAACTAGAGATCAAACTGCGCCAAAATCTGATGAATACAAAACCACATTCAAATCTATGAAAAACTAATTTCTCCCTCTCTCTATCTGTCTATCTCGCTCCTATGGTGTGTGTGTGTTGGGGGAGGGGTGGACATGTTGTTGGATGTCTGGTGCAGCTTCCGTCTCCATGCAAACCTTCAAGAAAGTCTCAAGATTAGCCCCTTGGCACTGATAACGACTGTGGGCGTCGTGGCATTATGAGACACAAAGTTGACTGCTGAAAAAAATGTGTGCGGTGCCAAATTAAAAACAAACGCACACACGCGCGCGCGTACCATAACCCACACAAGCGTACACGAACAAGAGACCGCGTGGACGCGCAGAGAAGCCACGTTTTTTTGGGTGCATTTTCGGTGGATGGGGCGGTCAGTGGTGAGCAAACTGACCCCAAAATGTGTAAATAAAGCAACCCCTACCCCCGGAATGAGGCGTTACCCCTCCGACTTTCTCGATCAATCACAGGGGACAGTGGCTTCTTTTGATAAAAACCCCAAATTGTCATTGGGCAGATGCAATCATGTGACAAGCAGCACGGTCTAATTCCAACCATGTCCTCATGAAAGCAATAGTTTATGGCATAGAGGTCTTCATACGACTATATCAGGTTTGGTGGTTTATGGAAATACACTTCTTATTAAATCTGAATCAACTTAAAGTCAGCAAATTTTCAAGACAAGAAGGAGGAGATGAATTACGAATTTGGGCGAGAAAGCGGTTTTATCAACAGCCAGCCGTCGCTCGCTGAGTGCCTGACATCTCTCACAAGCCCTGTCGGTGATGCATTTCAAAGTTCATCAATCAAGAGCTCGGCGCTTTCACAGTCGACACTGATTCCTCCTCCTTTTGAGCAGACCATCCCTGGCCTGAACCCGGGCGTCCACCCACGCCACAGCCGCTCAAAGCAGGCTCTGGGAGGCTGCAGCCCGCTGCAGGCTGGATCCCTACCCCCGGAGTACCCGTGGATGAAGGAGAAGAAAAGCATCAAGAAGAACCAGGCTGCTGCTTCTTCTGCTTCTGCGACAAGGACTGACTCCTCACCGCTCTACTTCTCCCCCCAAGGCAAGACATGATGATTAATAACCTCCATGTAAAAGGCTCCTCATTGTCTGAGGATTCCCCCTCTGCAAGGAGCTGCATCCAGGGCCCTGTGCAACGTGGGCGTCCCTCTAAGCCAGTAGTACAGGATTTTGATTTAAGCATGCTTAATCTCATCAAGTAACGCACTGCCTTGTGATGCAGTGTACAAGTGTTAATGTCTGACAGTAATGGAGAGTGATAGATTATTCTTACACGGGCCTGCAGCTGGCATGTTCATTAATCTTCACCCTCCGTCCTGTCCTGTCCACGCAGACCCATCATATTCTGCCTAGGGCCCATAAATCTTCCCAGTCCCGGCGCTTGCTTGCCACAAGTTTCACCCCGGGCTTGTTTTTTTCTCCACACACACACAACCGTGCTACTGTTTTTATTTTTGATCCCCAGCCCTTCTGTGAATAAAAAACAATCTTTGGTTTATTTTTTTTTTAGGTTCACCAGAGGTCCCAGAGGGTGGTGGTGGTGGTGATGTTGGCGGTGGAGGGGAATCCCGGAGGTTGAGGACTGCGTACACCAACACCCAACTTCTGGAGCTGGAGAAGGAGTTTCATTTCAACAAATACCTGTGCAGACCAAGGCGAGTGGAAATTGCTGCCTTGCTGGACTTAACAGAGAAGCAGGTGAAAGTGTGGTTTCAGAACCGGAGAATGAAGCACAAGAGGCAGACCCACTGCAAGGAGAACCGGGACAGTGAGGGGAAATACGCGTGCCTGGACGACGGGCCGGAGGACGAGTTTGAGCAGGCGGCGGACAGCAGCGCGGCCGGGACGCTCCTGGAGAGGGAGAGGTATTTCCACCAGAATACCTTGACTTCACAACAGCGTCAGAACGGGCACAATGGGGGGAACCAAAGCCCGACTGTTACGCTATTGAACAGCAATGAGAAAAATCTGAAACATTTTCCAAACGCGGCACCCACTGTTCCCATCTGCGGGTCAACAATAGGTCCGGACAATGATAATTCCCAGGGCCTGGACGTGTCTTTGCAGGATTTCCACGTTTTCTCATCCTCCTCCTCTTTCTCACCGAGTTTGTCAGATTCACCACAAAGTCCCCTGGCTTTATCAACCGAAACTTTTGACCTTTTCTCAGAAACACTCACAACAATCGACCTGCAAAACTTGAGCTATTGAAATATTGCAACATGTTTTATTTTAATGCAGCTTAAACACTCAGTTGTAGCGTTGAGGGGGGGGGACTAATATATCTCACAAATAAGGTAAGAAAAAACAACAGTGCTACTATTTAGCCTATAGTTTATTCCACGAGGCTGCAAGAGCACGTTAAACGGTTTATTTTTATATGGATTTTGACTATAACTGAGCAGAATATATTTGTTGAAATAAAACTTTACATGGATTGAATCAGCAGCGCTATTGTCTTATTTCACAATAAAAAAGTTTGGAGAGCTTGTGGATTTTAGCCTATAGGCATTAAAACATAAAAGGATATTTAAGAGTAGGCTACTGGCCACAAATGAATTATGTTCATGCATAATTTATAATGCCGAACAGCTTCTCACAGTATTCAAATAAGGAGCATATAAACTGTTAAATTTAAAAGCCACGGGATACTTTCTAAGTTATAGCCTAAGTTATTAATGAGTTCGTGTAGTATAAAGGCACTATTGATTTTACTATCTCAGACTTCCCCAAAACAAATCAATGTGGGTTATAAATAAAATGCAACTAAACGTAAAATTATACATAGTTGCATCCCAGTTTTTTTTTCAAATTTATTTTCATATGTTTAGGTGAAAGATTTATTTCAACGTGACCACGGTTCTGATATATAGGCTAGGCTACTTTAGTTATTTATCTGACCAGAAAATTGAAGATTCATTGCTTGCACATGTTTAAACCCAGAAAAAGAAAATTTGCAGTGAGAATTGGCAGCTAGGAGTTCCAGGCCAAAAGCTATGACTTTTCTTGGCTCTCTAATTACGTTTTATTGCCTATAAAACTCACAGCACTGAGGGTGCTTGTTTATAGCGTGGTCTACTACTGTAATACAATCTTTTTGAATTTAGAATCGCGCCTTAAACCTTACTTTGATTTTTCAAAACTTTTTATGATTTAGAATTATTTGTGGTTAATTCAAAGCAGCCGACATAGGACTAGTGTAAATTATAATTGAATAAGGTTTTGTAAAAAAACAAATAAAAATAGAACCTGGAATATGCAGATATTAGTCAAATACCAGAATATTTATTCTATTGATTTATAGTAAAATGTTGTAATGTAAATTGAGGTAAATTGTTATGTTATGTAATATGTTAGTCTGGACCAAACGAATTTGTCACTGTCCTCCATCCTTCACTGCTGAAGGAATTCTTCACACCAACCAGTTGAACTCGATAATGGGCAAACAGAGAAGCGTTTGCCACAATGTAAGTGGTTGCCGTTTGTTTTTTTATTAGGACACTAAATGTTTAGGCAAAATGGTTTCATGATAAGCTAAAGCCGTAGATTGTTCCAGGAATCTCAAGATTAACAATCACACTGATCAATGGTGCTGACCAGAGTCTACAGACAAGAGGATTCATTTAGCGGTGCCCTCTGTGTCTCTGTGGCCACCGTGCTGCTCTCAGGACTGTGCGGTTTGGGCTCGGAGCCAAAAAAAGGTGAGCCGAAGTGGTGAAGTGATATTCCTGCTGAGATATATGGTATTACGAGATGGCTAATTGTGATCATTTTGAAAACAAGAACTAACTAGGAAAATTATTGAAAGCCCAGGAGGCAGGGAGGCAGTCAGATTTGATTTGGAGCTGAAGCCACTGAGCTAATTTTATATCCTGAGACCACACTGTGTCAGCATGCTAGACCATGCTAACCACAAATACTCCTGATGTGCTTTTTATTAAAAAAAGGTCCAGGCCACTTAGTCCTTAGCATACTCTGCTAGTTTCCTTCTATGAGCAGAAAACAGAACAGATATAATGCTGCACATGTTTTCCTACAGATTTTACCATGACAACTGCAATATGCCTATTTAATCAGAGATAAATGGCATATTATGATCCATGTATTGTAATGTCTTTATTCTGGGTGGTTACATGAGATAGTCAACATACAGTGAGTGGATTGCAAACATGTAATGGCCGATAAAATGGGAAGGAACCAATCACAAGGAGGAGTTTGTAAGATGACAGACAAATAGATGAAGCTTTATGGGAAACTAGATACAACACTGTGCCAGCAGATCCCTCCCCCCTACACACACACACACACACACACACAAACGCACATACACACACATGGATACACAGGTCAAAGGTCAAGCTGGTTCTCCTCTTCTCTCCAAATACAGCCAGGTCAGAAGGGGGTCAGCTTTTGAATGACCACTGAGGGTTTGAGGCTCATAAAGAATGTATTGGCTACTCAGATAACTTTGAACAGGAAGTGACATCACAAAACGTGTACAGAAACAGAAATGGAAAGGTTTGATCTGAGGACCATTTTGCATTAAGGAATGTGAATGTATTTCACATGACAATCACCCAAAGATCTAAAGGTCTTGTTTTCAGTATGATTCTGCATATAAATACACAACATTTTAACGTGTAATCAAACATGTAAAGCTGCAAAAGGTATAGAAAGATTACTGCAGGCTGCATATTCTGTCATATTGTATCATATTTTCCTCTCTGCATAGGAGGACTAAGAAATGCCATATAGATGTTAGTCTTTCTATAATGACTGGACTGAAACTGAAGTAGGCCTAAATAAAATGTGTGACTGGCAGCACTGACAAACACCGCCCAGCACCTGCAGCTAAAGTAAAAAGATGAAGCTGAAGCCCCATGAGAGCTGCACTGACATTTCTGTCACATTTCTCCTAAAACAACAGGCTATACAGTTCAAAGGCTCAGTCTTTTGAACCTGGGCTGGATGATACTGCCTGTCAAAAGATGACTAATGACTGACTGACACCTGTATAAACAATATGACAACCAACTGCTTTCACTGAATACACTAGGAGGCACAGGTTCACTTGATGTAAGAAGTGAGTTGTTTTGAGATTTCTTGCATCAGATGAGGTGGAAAATTGTGTTTGTCATTGATTACAATATCAACATAGTCTCACAAATGAGATGCAAATGAGCTGCACACATTGAAAATGTGATTTAGGAATAAAGCAGTGCAGTAGAAACTTCTGCACAGATACGTTTCATGGAGATGTTCCAAGGAGTCTTGTGCTAGCACAAGTAGCACAGACTCCTTGAAACATCTCTGGTGCTCAAAGACGAATAAACCTGGCTCAGGAAACTCTACAGCAGTTTTATATATAGCCTAATATATATTTATAATTTCCTTTACAGCTATTAATCCCTGTTTAGATTTACAATGTTGACATATTCATAAACTCAGAGTGTTTGCATCATTGTAAAAAAAATGACACTCCCAATGTGTCCAGTGAGTCAGTCACAGCCAGCATACTTAAGTGCCAGAGAAATATGATCTGGAATCAATCAACAATATGATCATAAGTAATACGCTGACTTTATTAGTCTGTAAAGACCCGTTGCTCCATTAAAGCATCAATTCCCCGTCATCAGCAGCAGTCCAATATATATATGAGCTACATAGCCTGCACACAATAGCTGATAGAGCAATAAACGTCAGCGTGGGTGTGAACAACAGGCGGGTTTGTGTGGTCAGTTATAAATAAATAGCAGATTAACTTCCGTATCTGTGAGCCCGCTGTCACTTCCGTAACGGGTGAAGTTCCCCTCGCCGGACGGTCCATCGTTGAAAGCACAAACTCATAAGATAATGCGTACTACGATTCCCGAGGAGTTAACGTCGCTCATTTCAGGTAAAAGATCATAAATGATTGTGTATTTGTACACGCCGGTTGTTTTCCCCGTGATGTTTTATGGCTCGTTGCGCAGAGTCCAGTTTTTAGGAGACCGTTTTGTTAAAAGAGGAAGCGCATTCATTCATGCTGCTGCTGTTGATAGGTATCAAACAATGCGCAGTTTTTGACGTCAAAGCGGCAAACCAAACTGCTGGTGTGTGTGTGTGTGTGTGTGTGTGAGAGAGTGTGTGTGTGTGTGTGTGTGTGTGTTGTGCTTTGAAAAGGTAAGCTGATCTCCAGCAGCACTGCTCAATTTGACTGCCAAATGAAACACCACAATCAGTAAGTGATTTCAGATTGTGTGACTCTATTAGTGATATTTGTTGTTTAGATCTAGAATTTTTCCTCTGTGATGGCTTGAAAGGGGAAAATCTAAGCAAGAAGGCGAAAGAGAGGAGGGAAGCCTTCATCAAACGGATTAAAGAGGTCAAACTGGGGTATGTCTGTATTACATCAAAATGTCTTATGTATTCAAAGACTCCAATGCAACATGTGAACATTGACATCCCTTTTGTCTCGCCAACAGTTTCCCACAAGATTTCAAGGACAAAAGTGAGTGTTTGTCTTACTCTTTATTATAATCTTAAGGTTTAGCCTATGTTTAAATCTGTTACACCAGTGGTTCCAAACCTGGGGGTTGGGGCCCGTCAAGACCTCACAACATGAATGTAAGGGGTCAGAAGATGAGTCAAATGAAAAACACTCTTCAAATGAACTGCTCACACAACAGTTTGGGTACCACTGTGTTACACCATAACAGGGACCCTTACTGCACAACCTTTGTTTACTATAGTAGGTGGAGATGACTCAGATGATGAGGAGGAGGTTGACAGCAACAACGATGGAGGGTCCCTGCAGTCGGAGCGCACGGACAAGGATGAAGAGGCTTGTGAAGGTAAGCCACAAGCACTTAGCAGACATCCGAAGCTGACATGCTAACTGCTAACAAGCTGTGGATTAAAGTATTGAAAATTGCATCTTGGCACGGAAATATACAAATCTTTGGGTCTGCTCCTTGGTGAAAGTGACTTTGAGTGGCACAATGAGGGAGACATTCCAACTGTAACTTGGCAACATACTTGGGAAGCAATTTGGGGGCACAACTGCTACTCCCACCTCCTCTTTCACCCCACCCCTTTGACAGCTAGAGCATGCTTTATTGCTCTCAGCCACAGTCTGGGGACTGAAAATTACTGCCATGGCTGTAGTCTGAAGCGGGGAGAAAAACATTCCTCAGTATACAGTAGCTTTAACCCTGTACTCTCCATCAAGGCAATCTATACAAGAGTTTGTATTTACTTTCTTAAATAAAGTATTTAGGGAAATCCTTGTGAAATTGTGATTAAGGGTCTTGGGTTTATGGGCTGTAAGCAGCTGCCATCTTTATGGCTGCTTTTTCACACAAAGCAACTTTGACACAGCAGTTGAACATTTGCATTGAAGTTGCACGCTGCAAGGGGAATCTGCTCTAGTGAGAGGAAAAACGTCGCTTAGGGGAAATTTT